CCACAAGTTTGCTGAATTATCCAAGTGAAAAAAAAAGTTCCTCTGAATCAGTTCCTGGACATATTTAACAAAATAACCTGTAATCTTTGCAAATTTTAGACCTTCCCTAAATAAATCAAACCTGTTCGACAAAATCAAACCAGGAAGATTCCTCCCCCCCCCCATATCTCCTGCAATTATTGCAAGCAAGGAAAGACCTTTTGCTTTGGAACGGCACCAATGTAGCGTGACGATATACATCTGACAGTGTTAGACTGGAATATGACTTTGATTTTATTGAAGTACAGCAGTCGCTCTGTCTTCTGTCTAGGCCAAGCTAGGAAAGTTATCTGTAGGAATGCTCATGCAAATATTGACCTTCAATTAGGTGAAACAGACACCCGCGCTTAGGGGCTGCAATATGGAGACATCAGCAAAAACATCGTACAGGCAAACACGTACAGAATATATCTAAGTGTGCAGAGTGTATGTAAACACGTCGTGTGTCAATACGCCTCCTTTTAATGCCAGTGTACTGACAACTGCAAAATCTGAAGACTTATAAAGGCAGTTTTAACCTCAAACAGGATGTCAACAAAGCATCCGCAGCATCACAAAACCACAAAAAAAACACGAGCTATTTGGTGCTAACGCAGAACAAACACAGACCAAAATGTGGGGAGTTTCGTGACCTTTAAAGTATAAAGAGTGAACGGCCTTCCCAACTGACACCAGTTGACCACACTCTTGCATAATTAACAGCATCTAAAGTGAGGTGTTCTTTGCATGACCTTACCTGACAACGTGAGGGCATAGCTTGCCTAGAAAGACTGTGAGAAACAGCAAATACGTGCACGTGTGCAGCCCACAGCCCACGTGTGCAAACGCATTTTTCGGTTTAATTATATTTTTAATACAGCATCGTATTCACCGGTTCGACCGATGTATTGGATCACACTGCAGAGCATGGCAAATATATGTAAAGAAATAAATAAATAAGGGCATGCCCCGGAGTTCCCCGTAAGCCAACACAGCTCACATCATATAAGGCACAGCAAGTAAGAAAGAACGGCGCGCTCTCCCTCCCTCCCCACTTCAGTGACAGTGACATGGCTGGGGAGGATTGTGCTGGAGCATCGCCTGCTGTCTTGATTTGCTCGGCAGATCCACGGCAGGGTTGGAAGGATTCTCCCCTCCCAAAGCCCTCTTACCCTCCTGCGGAGCAGAAATCCCCTCCAATCCTCACTTACTGCTCCTGCAGGAGCGCCTTACTCACTGAGACAAAGGACTCCATTAGAGGAGAGAAATCAGCTCTAAAGAGAGGAGGGAAAGCTAGTATGAGGACATGCACACACACATATAAATATATATATATATATAACTATATAAGTGTTCAGCACTGTGTCTGCATCGCCTGCATAGTTTACACACTCTCATGGGACTGATATAAGATGAGACAGATTGAGAGGCTGCATCTGAGGACGCAGCAATAGGATTTCAGAGGAGTTAAAGCAGAGGTAAACACTAGTTATCTTTGCAGGTGTCAGTTAATGAACACAGATCGGAGCGGTGAACAGGCATCATCTGGAGATTGCAATCTGTGCAGATGCATTGCACGCTGAGGGGTGTGGTCAGAGCGGTGTCTTGGGAGTCGGCGAGTGAAAGCGAGAGATTTGGAAAGTGGTGGAGATATCTGGTAGTGAAATATAATAACTCGCCTGCACCATCGATCAATACGCACACTGGGTGCGTTCTCTTTCTTTCAAGGCAACAGATGCAAAAAAAAACAACAACCCCAAACTGGAGGATTATATGCCTGACCTCCAAAAAGTGCGATTTAATTCTTTCACATAACTGCTAACTCTAAAGCTGAAACTTTATCGTGCGTGTTATCACTTTTGCTTTTGTGTATTTTCCAAGCACTGATCAACCTCACCCCCAGTATTACACAAAGCTCAGCAGTGATATCCTGGCGGAGCCCCCTTTCAGACATACCTGTGGTGTGGAGCTCAGAGGCTTACAATCATACTACAACAATAAGTATTGCAAAACGCCGGCCGCTGCAGACAGCGAACCCCGTGCACAAAAATGCGCTCCGTGTTGATATAAGGAGAAAACACACAGATTGTTGCATATCCTAAAGACGACAACAGAAAATACAAATCTGGTGATAATGGCAATTTATTGGGTCTCGAGAAAAGTTGGGAGTTAGGATGTAATCAACTTGTCGCCTATTTTCGAAGAAGGATTGTCATTACGTGCAGCAAACCTCTCGACATTCCACTTGGCTACCAATGGTGCTCGAGTGGGTAATGATTAACGCTTACGGAGGGAGTGTTCGAGCGAGTAACCACTTTGTTGCGCTTTCTCTTCCTGCAAGAACCTTCACTACCTGCACGGACATCACCGTCCAAGATTATCATTGTGTAACCTGGACGAGCACACGTGGGAGCGGGCCAGGTGGCTGCGCTGACACACATACGGCACCGACTCTGGTCCCTGCCTGGCAAACACAACGAAACTCTATCTCCGTTTGAAGGGGCCAGCCAATACACAGGCCCGGGGTAGGAGGCTGAGTGGAGGCCAGACACTGATAAACAACTGTAACCCCTGCAAACAAACACAAACACACACACTGACCTAAATGACACCAGAGCAGAGTCATGCACTACACAGAAGGCCACAGGGCTAGATAAGTGAAGAAAATGCTTTTTAATATTCAGAATGCATTATAGTGGTACTGAATGCCTGCAAAAGGATTATTGGGCTAGTGGGGCATTTGTGAAGTTGCCAGATTGGCACTCCTGGCCTCCATTTTACTCGGTGCGCATTCGTGCAATTTGTGTGTCCAAGACTTGTTCCTGGTTTACTGTTTACTGCCTCTGAGCACTACAGCGCATCTATTCTTCTCCGGTGCCTCGGAGGAACAGGATTAGTGACCAGCCACAGAGAGATGAAAGATGTGCCCTCTTACCACACTTCAACATGTGTTCTTTGTTTCCCATGAAGATCCCAATAAAACCCCTCAACATCCTCTCGAAGAAAACAAGACTTAAGCCTGCTCGCACACACCAACAGCACCAGGGCCAACGCTCGGTTTGAATTTTTGTAGAAAGGTGTGACACCGTCCGTGAAACATTTCAGTCTAAACTGCCAAGCTCGCTTTGAAAAAACCACACATGCTCCCCGACCTTCCTGCTCCGGTGCTACAGTGCTTATCAGACCTTGCTGTCTGCAGGGGATGCATCTGAAGGTCTGAGCAGGAACTCGACAAGACCCCTCGCTGCCAATGGCATTTCATGCAGTAAATCAACACGTTGCCACCTGCAAGGTTGAGTGAGAGTGCGAGAGCTGGAGCGGGTATGCCAGGTGACTGTGGGTGCACGTGAAAGTGGGTTATAAGCTGTTATTAATTGACCAGAACAGGCCTGTTTTCTCAAGTGGTACTTGTGCCAGTGGGAGAGATACCAAGACATAGAGCAGAGTCGAAGTTCTTTAGTAATCACTGTAACTCCTGACACTTATATTTGCTCTTATTGTGCCTGATCAAACTTA